TACAAGAATTCTGCAGGGAGGGTATCAACTGGCAGCAGCATTGACAGGGATATGGGTAGTGTCAACCTTTTCAGTATCAGGCCATTAAAGACAAGATTAATGTAAGGTTGTCCCATATGGTCCCACTTAGAAAAAGCTCTAATGCCTGTCATGTCTAAGAAGACCATCTCATTGATGGGCAAATATATTTAACAGACCTCCTTAGTAGTCCCAAATTCCCAGCCAGTAACACAAACAATGCTTTATTTTAAAGTTTCTTTTTTTTTTTTAATTTTTTTTTTAATGTTTATTTATTTTTGAGACACAGAGAGATAGAGCATGAATGGGGGAGGGTCAGAGACAGAGGGAGACACAGAATCTGAAGCAGGCTCCAGGCTCTGAGCCGTCAGCACAAAGCCTGACACGGGGCTTGAACTCATGGACCGTGATATCATGACCTGAGCCAAAGTCAGATGCTTAACCGACTGAGCCACCCAGGCGCCCCTTCAAGTTTCTTTAGGAAGATTTGAGAGACTGAAAGACAGACAGACAGACAGACAGACAGACAGACTGAATGACTTACCCACAGTAATCTGACACAGAAAATTTTCTTAGGTATTCTGCTCAAATAAGAGCCTTGTGTCTCCTAAGCACGGATACAAGACAAACCCATTTGCTGACTTCCTACCAAGGCTTATAAGTATAAAGAATAAAGGTTTCTTGAGAATTGCTTCTGCTGATAGAATATTACCACAGCAGCAAGGCCCCACTCTCCTCCTCTCACAAAGTAGATTCCAAAAGGCTCAGAGCTCCTTTTGTTCACTGTATTCCCTTTTTCCAGCCTCATCCATTAGTTTTCTTCTCACTGCCTATCCTGGAACTCCAGTGGTAAACAAGCTGTTTAGGTCCCAACAAACTGCAAGGATGTACTTCTGTGGCACTGTTGATTGGCATGTTTACAGCAGCTTTTCTTACTCAGTGCTGAGCTCTTTATATCATATCGCTCCTTATATATTACTGGGTCACATGACTACTTTAAATATCAGAATTTGAAAGACTTGAAAGTGCATGGTAGACCCTAAAGGTGGACAATTAAATGCCTTTCTCTAGTTTATGATAAGCTATCAATAATTATCTTTAAATAAGAAATGAAACTGTTGTCAAAAAGTTTCAGGGTTTTTGGTGCCAAGTAGCTATTTACATAGAAAAATTGCTAAGGTAATGTTAACTTACGAGTTTAAGGCTGAAATTAAGTAAAAGTCATCTTCGCACCTACATTAATTTAACATTGCTTCTTACCAGTTTTCCTGCCCCTAATTCCATATCCATTTCCCCACCCCAAATCCATTCCCCACAATGTGCCTAGAACAGAAATTTTAAAACATAATTTTATTATCTTACTTCTTGCTTAGACCCCAAAGTGCAAATTCCGAATTGTAACTAGGACATACAATGTAATGCTTCAAGTTCTGTCATCTGTCTCCATTCTGGCCCTATCTTTCACTAGTCTTCGCCTGACTAACTTGTACTCATCCCTTAGGATCATCTTTCTGAAGGTGAACTAGGTTACTAAAAAGCACTGGCTCTGGGTTCAAATTCTGGCCCTTCCATTTATTAACCCTGTGACTTTGGGTAAGGTAAGTTACATCTCTATTTCATGGATGCGAGACACACAAAAAAACTTCCATGCTGTTCTGCCATCTTGGCTCCCTTTAGTTACATCTCCAGACTAGAGCTTACTCACCTATAAAATCAAGATAATAAAGTAACTATCATGTAGTCATGTATTGAAAAAACAAGGTAAATCTGGTAGCCTTTAGCAGTCTCTAATAATAATGAGAACTTAGTAAATATTATGTTGTTTTTATTATTACACACCTGTTCTTTGAGCTCCCTATATACTTTTATCACAGCACCCGTCATTCTTTCTTGGCTATTAACCGGTCTGACACCTGACCAGTTTTCAATTGCCCTCCCTGCCCTCCTCCTACCACCACTAACACAATACCCACCAGCATACTTGAGAACTATACCTTGTACCCATAGGAAACTATGATCTACTCTGGCAAGTGATTCTTAGAAAGTGGTCATCCCTAGTTGAGTCATTCAACTCAACCAGTGGTTCTCAACTGGGGATGATTTTGCCTCCCAGGGGACATTTTTGGTTATTGTAAGTCAGAGGAGGTACCCACTGGCACCTAATGGTTAAAAACCAAGGATGCTGCAATGCACAGGGCAACCCTCTACAACACAGAATCATCTGGCCCGAAATGTCGATGGTGACAAGTTAAAGAAATCCTGAACTAAACAGCAGGTTCAGGAAGAATAACTTTTTCACCAGCATCAAATGTATGATAGGCAAATTAGAAATTTCATATGCTGAATGAATAAAGGGGCCTATAATTCCAGTACATGCTATAAAAATTTAAGTCACTGCAATTTATAAACCATCCATCCATCCATCCATCCATCCATCCATCCATCCATCCATGCACAGTACCTAGCTAATACCTACAGGTCCTTTCTATAAAGATTTTTAATCAAATATTTATTTCTTAATTTTTTTTATACTTGATCCAAGCCAAAAGGTCAAGAAATGATTATTATTGGGGCGCCTGGGTGGCGCAGTCAGTTAAGCGTCCGACTTCAGCCAGGTCACGATCTCGCGGTCCATGAGTTCGAGCCCTGCGTCGGGCTCTGGGCTGACAGCTCAGAGCCTGGAGCCTGTTTCGGATTCTGTGTCTCCCTCTCTCTCTGCCCCTCCCCCGTTCATGCTCTGTCTCTCTCTGTCCCAAAAATAAATAAATGTTGAAAAGAAATGATTATTATTTCTTAACATTTTAACAATCAATACTTCACTTTAAAAATCCTTTTCAGGTGCCTGGCTGGGGCGCCTGGGTGGTTTAGCCGGCTAAGCATTCGACGTCAGCTCAGGTCATGATCTCACCATTTGTGGGTTCGAGCCCCGCATCAGGCTCTGTGCTGAGCCTGGAGCCTGCTTCAGATTCTGTGTCTCCCTCTCTCTCTGCCCCTCTCATGCTCATGCTCTGTCTCTCAAGAATAAATAAACGTTAAAAAAAAATTCTTTTTGGCTGCCTGGGTGTTTCAGTCGGTTAAGCGTCTGACTCGGCTTCAACTCAAGTCATGATCTCGCAGTTTCATGAGTTTGAACCCCACATCGGGCTCTGCGCAGGCAATGCAAAGCTTGCTTGGGATCTGCTCTCTTGCCCTCTCTCTCTGTCCCTCTCCTACTCATGCTGCCTTTGTATCTCTCAAAATAAATAAACTTAATATAAAAAGAAAAAAAATAATAAAAATCCTTTTCATTTAGTCTCTTCTATTGAAATAATGCTGCTGCCAAAATGCAAATAATGCTATGCTCCACCAACTAAAAGGGAAAAACCTGAAATGCCACCACTCCTACACCCTCTCACAGGGCAGCCAGAGGTATATGGTGGCACCTGCATGCTACAGCAATTCATCAATCATTGAAATTCAAATAAGTGCAGAGGTGGAAGGTGGCAGAGTTTCAGTAAGAAATGGGGGAAAAAAAAATCAATGTCAAAGTTGACATCCTTTTCTGCTGACATATAAAGGACACAGCAATGGTAAAAACACACAGAACACCCTTCTGTTACTCAAAATTACAAAATGTCTTCTATGCTTTTAAATAAAGAATAATGAACCTGGAAGAACATGTAGAAGAATACTAGTAATGTAACTGAGAATGAATTGGCAGAGTTGAAATCAGTTACCATAATGGATTTTTTTTAAAGATTTTTAATTTTTATTTACTTATTTTGAGAGAGGAGGGAGGGAGGGAGGGAGAGGGAGAGGGGGAGAGAGAGAGAGAGAGAGAGAGAGAGAGAGAGAGAGAGAGAGATTGATTTGATTGAGGCCAATGTGGGGCTCAATCCCACAACCCTGGGATCATGACCTAAGCCAAAACCAAGAGTCAAAGGCTCAATCAACTGAGCCACTCAAAAGCCCCAAAGGAGTTTTTAAATGGTTAATTTGGAATACAAACATTTAATCAAGACTGCCTTTTATTATTTTTTAAGTTTATTTTATTTTACTTTTTATGAGAGAGTGAGCAAGTGGGGGAGAGGGAGAAAGGATCTTAAGCAGGCTCCACACTCAGCACAGAGACCAACACAGGGCTTGATCCGATGAACTGTGAAGGTCATGACTTGAGCCGAGATCAAGAGTTGTGCACTTAACCAACTGAGCCACCCAGGTACCCCTTCTTTTTTTAAGACTGTCTTTAAAAGACAAAGTACTGGGGCGCCTGGGTGGCTCAGTCAGTTGAGTATCCAACTCTTGACTTCAGCTCTAGTCATGATCCCAGGGTCATGGGATTGAGTGTCACACCAGGCTCTGTGCTAAGTGTGGAGCCTGCCTGAGATTCTCTCTTCCTCTACCTTTGCCCCCCTCTCTCGCTTAGATGCTTTCTCTCTCTCTCTCAAAAAACAAAAGGAAGGAAGGAAGGAAGGAAGGAAGGAAGGAAGGAAGGAAGGAAGGAAGGA